CCCCCCTCCCCACCCCCACACAAAAACCTAACTCTCTTGTTATACCTCTAATATCCGACATTTATATGACCTTATATGTGGCAAGTGGTGTAAAACTTTTACTAAAAAAAAGAAAAATGAAAACCACAAGTCTTAAGGCTGGGGCGTCAGATATTTTGCTAACGCACTGAATCGGCGGAACACAATGCTGCTTGACGACTCCCTTGGTGGAAGTCCAGGTCAAATTAGATGTTTGAGGCACCGTGATGAAATCAAGCGCTCGTCAAAACAATGAAATCAAAGCAACCGGCATCTTTTCTGGACGTTGGGCAATTTTTGTTCATTTTTATTTGTTTGTTTGTTTTGTTGTTGTTGTTGTTGTTGTTGGGTTGGGGGGTTGGGGGGGGGTCTTTTTTTTGTTGTTCTACACATGTTATACACTTTTAAAAGTACATTTCGGTGTGGAAAATGCCAAAAACGTTGCTCAAGGGCACAAAAATTGTAAATTCGTAGTTTTTAAGGAAACATAAAACGTTGGACATCCTCACAATTTGGGGGCAATTTTCTCGCTAATTTTGCCTTTGACATCACAAGACCCCCACATACTTCAATCGCAAATGTCTCGACTTTAATTCAACATAGACGGGTGATTTACCAAGGAAGGCGAGATTACTGAACAAGTTTAAGATGATTCCAAATTATAACTCGATATGCCCAAAAATTGACGAGTGACTGCTTCCTCTGCGTCGTGACACATCGCCACCGCAAAATTGCAAAGTTCTATCTGCTCACTTCTTAGTTTTGAGAAACCTGACGTCAAAGATTTTAAGTTTCACATCACGTCAAGCCTTTTCAAATGCAAATCTTGGAATATCTTGATAACGATTTCATCTAATCTTACGCTTTTGACAGAGAGGAAAGTAAGTTTGATTTTGCTTTCTGACCTCATGATCTCATAGTAGCTCAAAGCAGTCCCCCCAAAATGTCAGATAAAATTTTGCAATTCTGAGGTAGCGACATTTCGATGGAAGGAATGATCGGTGCATTAACATCAACTGAAAGTCATTGGCCTACTATAGTCTCACTCTACTGGAAGGGAGAAATAAATCTAGAGAGAAAAGTGACACACGTGTTTCCAAGTTGCCAAATTATATAATAGATGTATCTATTGATTCTCTATTCCGCTTTCGTGGCTGTACACTCCAGTGTTGAATCAATGCGCACGGTTTGTGAACGGAAACCTCACTTGTTTATACTGGTGTCTTAGAAGACGGACTTTCCCAGGATTAGAACTCTGTATGGACGAAACAAAGCATTTTGGAAAAATCGGGGAAAGCAGTTTGCGTGGATTTTTAAAAGTTAGGTACTAGTCACGTGGATGCTGTGGACTCCTGCAAAGTTTCAAAGGTGTGGGTTAGGTAATAAGGGAGGAGTTTGTGAACAAAGCCTCCCAAGTCCACTTATATATAGATTATGAAGCAAAGCAAAGTCCATCTGGTGCTGTGTGTATTGGCCACGTCATTATTCGACTCGACTCCATCTGACCATGCACTTGGCCAAACAACACCCGTTAAAAGACGTTAGTGTCCAAACTTAGAATTTCGTTTAATGACTTGATGATGGTGAACAGACGATTTTTCTCCTGACTTCATCAATTGCACCTGTAAATGTTTTACGCCTCCATCGATACAATTTAAATCTTTCAGGAGGCAGGCTGCTTCCGCCCCGCTGGTCAAGGCTGACCCGGACTGAGGTAGGCACAAAGTCCTAGCAAGCAACAATGGACTCACGTGTAGTGTGCATACGGCAAAGTGCCCAACTACTTCACAGCAGACACCGGCCAAGACTTTTATGGACGTATTTTGCGCCCCGATCAACACAATAAAGATCATTTCATGATTTAGAAGGCGGGCTTCCGACCCTGCCTGACATGGCCAACTCAGGCTGAGAGTAAAACATCCCAGCAGAAAGACAGAGATACTCGATAAAATCCCCCCCCCCCCCTTCTGGGAATCGAACTTTGGTTTCCTGTACGCGACAACGAAGCACCTAACCGCTATACCACAGGCGTCAGCGGCCAAGACGTATTTATGGCAGTTACAGATTTAGAAAAATGTGTTAAGCGCTATCTAAAATTTAACGACATAATGATATTGTTTCAGATGGGTACAATCTTTTCATTTTCTAGACTGGATATTCTTATCTCTCCATATTTCCTGCAGTCTTCATCGCAAAGCATTCTTTGTGGCCAAAGCAAGAATGGGCCTCCACCTGATTATATCCGCGATACTTCTGGCAGCAGCAGTTTTCCTACCCTCAAGTGCATGGGTGCTCAACACAACAGCGCCCGAAGTCGAAGTTGGAAAAACACAAAATGTTAATTTGGAATGCGTTAATAACTTTCCAGAGATGGACATTTCTGAAATTCTCTTCATGAGAATTCAGAAAAAGCACTCAAACAGATGGACAACTGTTGCAGAACTTCGCGATAATGACACACGAATCAAACTGAAATCTGAAAATATGTTCGTCGAGGCGACTGATGACGTTGCAGCTGGTGCATTTTTGCGGCTTACTTGGCCCGTGGCTACCAACTACACCATCGGCCAGTACCGCTGTGATGTCATTATCTTGACGTCCCAGGAAACTGTCCAGTACGATAGAAGCTTGCCCGTTTCCATCACCTTTAAGAGTGACATTCAGGTTCTGAGCCAAATGGTGATGGAGAACAAAAGGGAGTATTTTCAACAGCTAAGCTTACAGAAAAAGAACATAGAAGACTTGAATGAGGCCGTGCAAAGTATGCAGCAGGTGAGAATATCTCTATTTCACCCTCCCCCTCCCTTTCTCTCTCTCTCTCTGTGTCTCTTTCT